TTTTTTTTTTTAATCAGTTAATGTATAATAAGGTAAAAGGTGTCTTGACAAAATCTTTCGACAGGTAATGAGTTCCTGAGTTTTATTTGCTAAAATTTTTAATGATTTCATTTCGTGAAGTTTCTTATAAAATTAATGTTCAGAGAAAATTTGTATTCCTACAGAGTGCATGTATTCAAAAAATCAAATTGAAAAACGTAATGTAGGGTTGTAAACGTCATTAGGTAATTATTATGAGTTTTTCAAGTTACAAACATTTTTTTAATGAATCATGACCAATTCTCGAAAAAACAAAAAAAACAAAAAAAAAAACAGTAAAGTAGCAAACATTCACAAACACGATATACTTGACGCATTGATGAAATCCACGAGAAAATTGACATTGCAATAAGTACCCCGAATAAATAAGAAAATTTCCAAATACGTGTAAATACAATTGTCACAAAAAACTTTGAGGCAGCGAATTGGCAGTGATGAATTAAAAATTTTTATCCCCAGTTGAATAAATACTTGAGCAACTTTACGAGCGATCCGATGGCTCGTCACCTGGTGGACCAAATTCTGACGTTGGATCCCGGCAAGCGAATCGACGCCAACGCTGCTCTGGACCACGAATTTTTCTGGAAAGGCTCAGCTCTCGAACCGCTTCACGGTTTGCTCGATCGCTACAAAATGGTCACAAGCTCCCCGAAAATACTCGTAGAGAATTTCTTCAAAATAAACTCTGGCCCTTCGAATTAAAAACAGACAAAATAACCTGCTAGAATGCAAATGTATACGCAGATCAAGTAATTCGAAACATTTAATTTAACTGTCAAGCTTAGCTTGAACAAACAATTTTTTTCTTTTCCACATCGGCTCGAGAGGCAATGTATGTATGTCACACGTCATGAGTTATAAATGAAGCAAATGGTCGGACATTATAACGGTACATGTATAAAAGTAATTTATTTATATAGGAATTAATTTCACGCACAATACAACAATGATATTCGCACAGTGTCGTCACTTCAATTTCCAAGCCAAGCTTCCTTCTATCCAGCGCATCTGCAATAACCACGGATACACAATCCCACTAGCCCGTACTTTAAGCACATCTTCACACACGGGAAATGAGTGCTGCACACTGTAAAAAAAATAATAATAAAAAAAATTATAGTGTATAATTTAAAAATTTTGGGAGACAAAACACTTACTTATACTTGCCGACGTCAGATAGACCAGTGCGGCCAGGAGTAAGAGAAGATAGATAGCCTTCATGACGAGCATCTCTCGAAATATCGATATCAATTACCTATATGCTTGACAATGTCGAATTTATACGCACAATCTGCATTCGTCGTACATCGCGTATATACTTAATTTATGTATCTTGTGCTGTTCTCAAGTGTTTTTATCCAATTTCAATGCGCGACATGTGCAAACAACACGAAAACAAATTTCATGATTAAATCGTTGCGTTGCGTAAAATATGGGGTGTGTTTTTAAAGTTAATTTTTCATTTTGAATACAATCGTGCATCAATATAAACCACACGCCAATTGAAATCAGTATTTATTTTCATGTGCTCGCTTTCGCAATACCCCCGGTGTCTTATCTTTAACATTAATTACCATAGATTGAGATGTTTTTTTCCCTCTTTTTCTTACGTAACACTATCGGTAAAAACCGTGTCTTTATTAATATACCGCAAGCCCACCGTTACAACGCATCAACGGTTAAAAAAAAATTTAAAAAATGTATTTTGGAAGAAGGAAAAAAAAAAAAAAAAAAACGTGGGATCGATCGAGCACTGGGTACACACAACGATAAGGATCCACCCAAAAGCTAGATACACTCTGCTGCACTTGGCTCGTCCGTTCGTTTGCGTATCGCGTTTCGCACTTGAAAACAATAAACGACGACTATTCCCACGTCCATTCTCCCGTATATATGCGCGAAGCATCACCCTGTACGTGTACAGGTATACATATACTTATAGGTATCACCCTCTCCGAGACTCGACATGTTGTTGTTGGGTGTTTGTCGCGCAAAAGTACCCCTCGTGCACTGCACCGAGTGTATATATATAGGTGGATGGGTGTGTGTGTGTGTGTTACACGCAAATAAGTCGCAGACCCTTAAAAATCAAGTGACGCGTGTATGTAGGCTTAAGGACGAGGGAGACGAGTGTACGAATAGAAGGCGGGGGAGTGCGGATGAAAAAAAAAAAAAAACAAAAAAAAAACAAGAAGCATCTTCAGTCTTTATACTTCTTTAAACGCCCTGTGATGGAGTGGCTGCGAGCTATACTCGAGCGCCACCGGAAGGAGTACATGTATAGCTGCTTGCTTGCGGGTGGAACGAAAAAAAATGTAGGAGAAAATAAGTGGTGGCTTTTCTTTTTTTTTTTTTTTCATCCAGTGTGCGCGTGTGACGAAAACAAAAAGGTGCTGGCTCGAAAAGTGGATCTTGGAAAAATGGCCATTAAAAATACGACAAAAAGTTGCTTTAAATATGCGAAACCTTGAACGCGCTGGAATAAAGTGAAAGGAGTGTGTGTGTGTATACCTGATGTACCATTATACGAGGGGACAATGGTTATATATACATATATATATATATATACATAGGGTATGATCATCGAGGTGTACCGACAAAACGGCACAGCGGATGTGTGATGTGTGTCGCGTCTAGTGCGGGATCGATAACCGGCTCTATCATGTGTCCATTTATGAAACAATGTAAGCGACGCTTTTTCGTGGTTTTTTTTTTTCTTAAAGCCGATGCAAAATCTTTCGTAAACTTTCGAAACTCGTCTTTATGGAAAATAAAAATTTGTTCACACGATTATGTGCCACGGAAAAAACGAGAGAATTAAGAGTTAAAGAGTCCTATAGTGCGGAATGCCAACACAAAAAAACAGCACATGGAAGAGAGACGATGAGAAAAGGAGGAAAGAAAATGTACCGAGTCCGTGACTATCTGTGGATCTGTCGCGGTAATTATTTTCAAACACGTCTCTTGGAGATACGAGATATCTCGCTCCTGCTCTCTCTCTTTTTTTTTTTCGCTTTATATACCGCGCCATCGTCAGCCCGTCGTAAACTCGTCCACTAAGTACTACACCACCCCCGCCCTTTGGCCGTGTATACTTTTTTTTTTTTTTTTTTTTCTCACACTTCTCGCGTGCACAGTATAGCTACTGTGTACGGCTCCCACCCTCACTTTGCACCTATACGCTCCAATCAGTCTGTGCAGTTTGCAAACGCGGCTTATCGGTCCGTCTCGTCTGTGTTTTCAGCTCGTCGATCCTCGACTCTTCCGAGCTCATTTTCATCGATGCTCTTCATCTTTTGTTTGCTCTTTTGCTTCCTTTATAATTTTTAACTCAAATAGGCTAGAAACGTGTGGTTTTTCGTATAAATGATAAATCGATACTTCTTTTTTTTATGAAAAAAAAAAAAAATCAACTTGGTTTTTACAGTTCAACTTGACTTCACTGCGAGAGCTTGCATAAACAGAACACTCGCATCGCAATTGCAATGGAACCATCCCAACGGAAGTTGTGTCGAAAATTCACATCTTCCTAAAAACCCACGGTCACGGAAAAAAGTCATCTCGAGCACTTTTCATATATATTTCGAGCATCGCGCAGCACAGTCGTTTTTTCGCTCTCGTTGCTCTCGTCTCCCTTTGAAAGTAGCCACGTGTACACGTATATCTACAATCTGTGTACGTGCATAATATATAACGTACACGCGGGACCTCGTATAACTAAATAACAAGACTAATTAGATGGCACCGTTGTCGCACTTTGTGGCGTGCCCCATTGTAACGTTATCTTTAACTTTGGCACGTGTGCAAGTGCATGATGTACAAAGAAAACGATGTCGCCGCGATGATTATTTATCCACGCAATTAAGCGAAAGAAAGAAAGACGACACTTTTTGGGGGTAAAACACCTGGTAGGCTAATTGGGACGTCGTCTACTTCTCCTCGTGTAACACGCGTTCGTGTTTTTGCAGCAATCAGCGCCTGTTACGGCTTTTTGGGATAACACCAGCAGCCGAGCTTCACCGTCAAAGAGATATTATATATACCTATGTACCGAGGTGAGGCCGATCGAGCTGATAATGTGCGCAGCAGCTAATAGACCAGGATACGGTGTGAGCTATAAACTCTCTCTCTCTCTCTCTCTCTCGATGATGTGCACGTGTACAATTTAGTTAAGAGTAAGTTCATCTTGACAAGCTTTTCGGATGAACCTGAGAATGTATCGCGTTTTTTTTTGTACACGAAAACAAATATTTTTTGTCTTTCCGATAACCATATAAGGGAGTAAAATTATTTCTAGGTACTTTACACGTAAGAGTTACATAAATTAGGGTAGCAAAAACAAAGAGGAGACTTTATCATATCCGTTTCCAGTCACTCGATGTATACGAAGGAGGAAGAGAGAAGAAGGAAAAAAAGTTAGTAAGAAAAAAAAAAAAAAAAAAAAAAATCAATGAAAATTAAACGAGTAGATCAAGTAAACGCCCCGCACTTGTGTACGATCAATCAAAGCAAAATCTGTCCTCCCTGGCATTATTTCACCATAGGGCACTTTCTCGTACCATAATACGGGGGGGGGGAGGATAGTAGGTAGTATATATTATGCTTTATATTGCTCCTCGCACGCATTAGTGAAAACCCGAACGTACCACCACCACCCATCACACACTCCCCGTCAAGTCAAATATCTAGTATATAGGCGTGTGTACAAAGGAGGGTGGGTG